TCTCACGGAAGAGAAGAGAAACTTCGTTTGGGACACAGATTGCCGGCGTTCTTTCACGAAGTTAAAGGATTTACTTTGTTCTGCACCAATCCTAAGCTATCCACGAAGAGAGGGAAGATTCATTGTGGATACTGATGCTAGTAATACTGGAATCGGCGGAATACTGTCACAAGAACAAAATGGACAGCAAACTGTTATCGCTTACTTCAGCGAGTCTCTTTCAAAGCAAGAGAGAAATTATTGTGTAACTCGACGCGAACTTCTAGCAGTTGTAAAGACCCTACAACACTTCAATAAGTACTTGCTGGGAAGAGAGTTCACTCTGCGTACAGACCATGCAGCACTTAAATGGTTACTCCAGTTCAAGAACCCTGAGGGTCAAGTGGCGAGATGGATCGAACAGCTGCAAGAATTCAACTTTGCAATAGAACACCGGAGCGGAAAGACGCACGCCAATGCTGATGCATTATCAAGGCGGCCTTGTGCTGAAGATTGTAAGCACTGTTTAAAATGCGAGAACAAAAACGAAGTGAAGGTTATAAGGGCTCAAGAATTGGATGAATCCTGGAGTAAAACTGAAATATCTCGGGCGCAGAAGGAAGACAAGGACCTGCAGCTGATAATGAAGGGGAAAAGTGAAGGACGAAAACCATCATGGAGTGACATATCCGCTTCAAGCCCAATCACGAAGGCATACTGGGCCCAATGGGACAGTCTTCTGTTACAAGAAGAGGTGCTTTATCGGAAATGGGAGTCACCAAATGGTAAGGATCAGACTCTTCAAACGGTGGTCCCTAGGTGCAAAGTGTCTCAGGTTTTAAGGCATGTGCACGATGGTACGTCTGGGGGACAACTGAGAATAAGGAAGACATTGGTGAAAGTGAGGGAACGCTTTTACTGGATGCGCTGTCGAGAAGATGTCGAGGACTGGTGTAGGAAATGTAATGTTTGCGCCTCGGTCAAAGGGCCTCGTACTAGATCCAAGGGGAAGATGCAGCTTTACCAGGTCGGCGCTCCTTGGGAAAGAATTGCCATTGACGTCGTTGGGCCTTTTCCACAAACAGAAGATGGAAACCGTTACATTGTGGTGGTTCAAGATTATTTCACCAAATGGCCCGAAGTATTTGCTACACCAAACCAGGAGGCTCAGACCGTCGCCAAGAGGCTTGTTGAAGAAGTAGTGTGCCGATTCGGCGTTCCGTTGGAATTACACAGCGATCAAGAAAGGAATTTTGAGTCAAACTTATTCCAGGAGATGTGCAATTTACTCGGAATAAATAAGACGCGTACGACTCCGGCACACCCACAATCCGACGGCATGGTAGAGAGATTCAACCAGACTTTGGAAAATCATTTGGCGAAGGTCGTAGAAGAACATCAACGGGACTGGGATCGTTACATTCCGCTCTTTCTGATGGCGTACCGGTCCGCAGCGCATGACACCACTGGATTCACTCCATCGAAAATCAATTTCGGAAGAGAGATGCGCTTACCCGTGGACCTACTTACCGGAACACCTTCGGCTGCCTCCAAATCAGTAGTAGAGTACGTCGCAGAGCTGCAAAGAAGGTTGGACGTAAAGGTGAAAGTGCAACGACATCTGCACTTGTTTACAAGTTATGCGTGTTACCTGCGTAGGTATGGGTAGGTATTTCGTACTCGCGGGTGCTAGGTAATTCTCAATTTAACAAGTACTTTCTAGAATGCGTCGATCGGCGTATATAAGCGCGATTGGCGCCGCGCAGAGACAGTTGAGTTTCAACAGCGATTTCGGAGCGAATCCAAAGGCGATCCAAGTGCAACAAAAGTTTTCAAGTGAGATTGTTTAGTGACTTGTATAGTGAAATACAGTGTTTAGTGAGTGTGTTGGTAATTAACTTTGTGTGTTAATTGTGTGAACTGAGTGGTAAATAAAGAACTGTCAAGCGTGAACTGGCATAATTCGAACCCCATCCCGACACGTAACAATACCATAGCAACGCAGGTATAACACGTCGCGGCGGCTTCGTATAGCACAAAGTTTATATTAGGCCCTGAATATATAACAGCGATGTGTACGGAAATAATATTTTGCGTGAATGTGATTAAAAAATATTTCCGTATTCCGGATATGGTTGCAAATTCAAATACTGACATTAATCCAAAATTAAACAGTCTCCTCGATTTGCAGAACTTTTGAAATTATCTTGAAGGTGAAAAAATGAAAAAATACATTTTTGCAAATTGCATAAAGTCCCGGATCGCGTATGAGGTTGCAAATTTGTAAATGCATCAGAATAGATGTTTTCGAAGTTTGCAACCAAGTTTCAAAACTTTTGTAATTATTCCGAGACCACCTTACTCGAAAAAATTACCACGAATTAAAAATAATTATAAATAAACATGTTCCGGTCAACGTAAAAGGTTGCAAATTTATACAATCGTTCGGTATATTTTTCCGATATATCTGTCAAATTTGCAGAACTTTTGGAACGTTTTCCTTCAGTTTAATAAAGAAAAACATTAATTTTTAATAACAAAAAATGTTCCGTACACTTAAATTGGTTGCAAATTTGACACGTGATGTAAAATAATATATTTAACACCACTCCAACTTTGCAGAACTTTTGGAATTTTGGTCTCAAGAACTGAGCAAATTATCATTTATTGCATTTTTAACAATGTTCCGGACCGCAGAACAGGTTGCAAAATTTTATAGTTTGTCTTAATACCATTCCCGACCTTACATCAAAATTTGAAAACTTTTGGAATTATAATGAATTAATTGTCTTGACTGACTGGACTATAGTGTGAGCACTAGATTACTATTTGAGTTGAAGAATTTCAGCATTGCGTAACCAAATTACAGGTGATTCGTCATTCTTCCTCATAAAGATGCGACCGTTGCGGACCCAAAGGTATTTGTAGTTACTTTCCTTCTTCGCCAAGCGGGCTTGGGCATGTAATGAACGGTTAACTGGAGAAAGTTGCTCGTTTAGGTATATCGGTACACTATCTCCTGCCAAGCCTAACGCTGCACTGTTTAGTTTTTCTTTTGAATTAGCCTTGTTATTTATATTTTAAACAAGAGGCAAGTATGCTGTCACGAATACGAGGCGAGGGTAGTTTAACGATGACCGACCTCGGTCTCGATGATTTTTGGTTGTTCTTAGCAACTCTTGAGCAGGACATTATATCCTTTTCCTCCAATGGGCAAGATGTAACTCTGCCAAGTTGGAAAACGGTATTTACGAGGTTTTCTTGTGGAAATTCAGGCAAGCACTGTATCTCCAGGTTACAGTCCCTCGCATGTTGCTCAATAGTATTCATTTTAGAAGACAGTTCCTTGTCCGAGGCTCCAAGTTTAGCATTTTCCTCACGAAGCGCTGCTGAATCAGTCCTCAACTTAACCACTTCGGAATTTACTTCGTCGTATCGAGCTGATAAGAACTCGACGGATTTAAATAGCTCTGGGATAAGTTTTATATCTCTCTGGAAGGATTTCTGATCTAAACAGGGACTCCATCTTGGATAGAATAAAAGACTCGAATTGATTCAGCTTTTTTTCGAGTACATCCTGCTGAAGGTGATCGTCTGGGGTAGCCGCGTCTTCTTTGACTGGAGTATTGCTATTATCTCCTCTCTTTCGTGGCATCTTACACTCAGGGCACTTCCACAGACTCTTCGTCCTGATAGACAGTTTGCCATAATTATCTTTGGAAATATTCACGCAGCCATAATGGTAGACACTTGAACAAACGGAACAAGTAACTTTTTCCAAGTCGATGACTACGAGGCGACAGCTCTTGCATACAGTCATGATTTATGCTTGAGGTACGTACCCGTCGCCATTACCAAGTTTTGGGAGAAGTTTTTATAAAATGGCAACACTTCCGCAGTGTCAAAATCGAATCAAGTGCTGTCAGTTAAATTGATTGTTGTCAAAATCAAATTTAACGCTGTCAGTTGATTTTGACTTAGGAAATAATTAAAAAGTTAGGGTACTTATTCCACAAAACAATGTTTAGCAGTTAGTGGGTCTAGAATTACAAATAGAATCTTGGTAATTTATGATATCCACGGGTGGAAGTGTACACTGATTTTAATTACACTAGTATTATGTACAGTTTTTAAGACACTGATGTTACTTTGAAGCACTTTTATACTTGTTTAAGAAAATGTGAACAAAAGAATCGGGAGCCTAGTGCAATGTTTAGTTAGCATTCGAGAGAGAGAGTTGCTTATGTAGTTGAGTCGGATCATACTTTATTTGATAATAGTATGAGCGTACCGTATCTTCTCTTTTTGTTTTAATCTAAGATCAGAACTAAAGTGCGGTCGAAATTCATTAATTATATTGCGGCCAGCATTGACGTATAAAAAAGTAGACTCAAGCGCCTGACAAACATGCATCAAAAAACGTCCGAGCGACGCTGTGTTATACATATCAACTTATACCGATTAATTTAACGCATTTGATCAAAGGAACCGTTATGTCGTGGCAGTAAGGTTCAATGTCAATTGTATACGATAGAGAAAGAGTTTGATAACATGCACGATCACGTGACGCACGGGGCATAAACGGGGAGAGATATTTTGTTGTAACTATTAAAATGTAGGTAATTAATTAGCAATAGACGGGTGTGCGTAATTTTGGTTCTGACACTTTTTGAGCACGATTGTGAGTCTTCTTGTTATTATACATCAATGATTGCGGCCAACGGAATAATGCAATCATGAAAGGTCGTGTCAGTCTATTAAGTTAACAGAATAAAGTACACTTTCGAAGTAGTAAAAAAGAGGTCCGAAAACTGTACTCTGATTCTATCAAGGAGATGATTCTAAACTGAAAGAATAATCAGGATGGTTTATACAATTTATTAACTGTTGGCTGTTGTAATCGTAGTAAAACTTGGCGTATTACTTACTTGTCTAATTGTATGTAGATATCAACATGCAGACAACTAAACAAGTATGTCAAAACACTTAATACGTTTATTTTATCAAACTTCAGGACATACCTGCCTCCAGTAGCGTAGCAGTAGGCATCCCCAGAGAACAATATGAGCGGTATTTGGTTCGCGAGTACAACTGTGGTTGCAACGTAATCTACGTGCGACCCGTTGATAGAGTTAGCTGCGTAATAGTACGTTTCGATGGCTTCGTCACGATGTACAATGAATACGTTGCGGTCTGACAGGCATATGTCCCAAATAACACCCCTGTGGAATGAAGTTTTGTCACTAAAATGTCTAATACTCAATCTCAGCAAAAACTAAACTCAAAGGTCAATTCTTTTATCAAACCAATCATTATTGCATTCCATAAGTAAATAATAACTTTAAAGACACCAGACAATCCAGTAGGGTAGGTAGGACATATTTCATACGTTGCTAGGGTTTATTTGAAGTTAATTACAATTTGTTTATAAAGTCGTGACATTAAATGATGGCGCTTCTAGTATGCATGTAGCAACCCTATACAGTCTGACCAAAATGATTTTGATACTAGCAGTTCATTCAAGTAAAATAAATAATTAAGACACACTATACATTCATATTTTGTTTCTGATTTATATACAGTAGGTACCTATGCTTATAAAAAGTTTAACCAAGCATATTTAATTGAATCAGAATAAAATTATTATAGATAAAATAGTACATTATTGTGTACAAGTGTGTAATGTTGGTGATTACCGCTGAGGCGACATAGAGACCAGAGCCGTTAGGTGAGGGTCTTAAGAGAGCCGAGGATGGTAATCATCAACACACACGTGTATCATACGATGTTTTTAACACACTTGTTAAGAAAATAATACTAAAAATCATTTTATAGTATATAAAAAGTTTATTTAGAGAAACAATTTGTAAATGTGCAGTTAGTAAAATTAGTGATAGGTATCTTCACTAAAAGCATCTGGCAATGGTTCTCTGTGACCTGGTGGGAAAAGAAATCTTCCATTTCTTTCTTTGGTTGGCCTTGCCTTTGTTTCCCAGGGGTTTCAAACTTTCCATCATTCTCAAAACCTTCGTCGACTATCAAAAAAATCGATCGAATATCGAAAAAAAAAGTTAAAAAATATGTAACGGAATAGAAACAATAACTTATTGACATGAAGTAATTAATTCAAAATTGGTAGAAAACCTGACTGACTTGTACCATCCCAAACGTATCAAAAGAAATGGTCGCACTACAATATTACCTACTTACAATGTCAATCTAACCTAAAAATTTATAATGTAAACAATGCCTGTTTTGGTCTCAAAATCGTAAATTGAGTAAATTTATAACTTCAGGCAGATTACAAACAAATAGTAACGCTATTTGTACCCGTCATAGATGCTGTTCGCCCATAAACATCAACCAAATCCCACAAAATTCGTCCAGCTTGGTACTCCGCGAAACATCGCTGGAAAACTTTAAAAATCACTTCCCGCGTGCCACTCCAATTTACTTTACTCATTTTTATACCTTTCTGCTTAGTTTCGTCTTAATTTATTACAGTTTAATCAAAACAATAAAAAATACAAAAGAAAAACTGTTCCACAACTCAAACTCGATGACAGCTGGTGTACATAAGTTTGGTGTTGCCAGACACATGAATAATGTTAGTTCCTAAAACATTCATGTCACGACTTTACAGACAAACTGTATTTGTGTCAACTGTTCGACACTTTTTAACTCGTCTGATAATACCTATGGTTGGAATATGTTTACATTGTTTTTTTTTATTGATAGATCCGACAAATGACTCCACCCCACCTGATGTTAAGTGAAGGTGAAGTCCAGACGCGAAGATAGCTGATACTGCAGTTCTATCTGCCACACCAGCCATCCTCACCTTGCCGGCCTGCATGTTGCTTCTTCACGCCTCTTTTAAAAGATCCCAGGTTGTAAGAGGGAACACGTGAGCGGGCAGAGCATTCCATTTACGGATAGTGCGACAAAGAAATGAGTCATCAAATTTCTTTGTACGCGTTGGAATTGTGTCCACAGTTAGACGGTGACAACGTATGCCAGTTAAGGGTGCTTTTTATCAAAAGATTTTTACATCAAAATATCCTTCTTATTCCAATAACTTCCGCAGGCAATGCAAACGTTAAAGAGTAAGTTCTTTTAAACAATATCTATGCAATTCTGACTCTGTCTGTACTCCAGTGGGAAGTTCAAAAGGCTGATAACAATGATGATTGTGTAAGAGAGGCAGGGCATAGCGGATTTTCCTCTCGACTTGGAGCGCCCGTCTGGGGAAGTAACCTCCACTGTACGCGATGTAAGTTGGCGCGGTGACCAAGGACTTCAAAAATAATAACGCAGTAGATACTGTGCGAAGAGCTTTCGGGTGCGGGATACGTGCGTGTGCTTGCGTCGGCTATGGCTTAGCAACTGTCTTAGTAACTTATATGCAACCGTTTATTCGATCAACAAAATCAAAGGCAGGTGAAGGCGCATTCACACACATGCTCGTACCCTACGGCATATTTATTAAACTATAAAACGCAACATATAATTAATGCAATTAACAAATATCGAAATGGACGAAATGTATGATTGAAAGTAAAATGACAAATTTAGCTTAGTTATAGATATTACATATTAAATTATGGGTTTGATTTAAAGATGCGCGTCGCGTCGTCTACATTCTCCGCCCCATTGTCCGTCAAGGACAATCATCACTAGCGGTAGGTAGCACGGCCAGGCGAGTAGCGGGCCTGGTAAGTATACCGGTCTTGGTTTTTATTTCGGCAACGCGCACACGACCATCTGCCCCAGGGTGTACCTTCTCAACTAGGCCCCTTGGCCACGTATTTCGGGGCAAGGTGGGATCGACGATGACCACAACATCTCCCTTTTTGAGGTTACGACCTTCTTGGTGCCATTTCTGACGAGGAATGAGAGTAGGCAAAACTTCACGGACCCAGCGCTTCCAGAACATATCTGTTAGTCTCTGCGCTATTCTCCATTGTTTTCTCCGATACAGGTCACAGTCAGTGAACTCTCCAGGAACTGGAAGATTGGATGAGGAGCCAATAAGAAAATGGTTAGGAGTAAGCGCTTCTGGGTACTCATGGTCGACAGACACGTGACTCAACGGGCGACTATTTACCATATTTTCAATCTCGGCCAGTAGGGTAATCAAGACTTCTTCCCGTGGGGCTCGTTCTTTCAGAACAGTTCGGAGCGCCGTCTTCACACTCCTTATCAGGCGCTCCCACGCTCCGCCCATATGAGGACTGGCTGGTGAGATGAATTGCCAGTCGGCACCCTTGTTTATCAGTTCCTCCTTTGAATCAGACTGATTAATTTCTTTCAAAGCAATTCTCATTTCAGTGTCGGCTCCTCTAAAATTTGTGCCGTTATCAGAAAACATTTTCAACGGCCAACCACGTCGTGCAGACATTCTTCGTAATGCCATTATGAAGGAGTCGGCTGATAGTGAAGGGACCGTCTCAATGTGAATCGCCCTTACGGTCAAACATGTGAAAAGCACACCGTATCTTTTTTCTCGACGGCGACCGATGACTACTTCCATTGGGCCGAACAGATCGACTCCACAAAAGGTAAAGGCTCGTTGATGGTGTGCCAGTCTTGCCATTGGAAGATCCCCCAGTCTTGGGTTTGTAGGCTTCGCCTTCCTTATGCGGCAGAAAAGACAGCGAGCGGCTACTGTGCGCACTGTAGGTCGTAGATGAAGTAACCAATATTTTTGGCGGATTTCATTTACCACCATTTCATTATTTCCATGTGCGGCCTTCTCGTGATAATATTTTACTATTAATTTTGCAGTTGGATGGCGGCCGTCTAATATCACAGGGTTTTTCGAGTTGCGGCTAAATCAAACATAGCTTCAATTCGGCCCCCGACTCGAAGCAGACCACATTCGTCGAGGTAGGGTGTTAAGGTACGTATCCTGCTATTAGCTGGTATAAACTTTTTATTTTTCAGCAGGTGAATCTCTTCAGCGAATGATTGCATCTGAGCGTGAAGCAAAATCAAATTTTCAGCACGTTGTCTTATTTCTATTTTATTTTCAGCGTGACCAGGCTTTCTACATCTCTGTACGAACAGTAATACATTCGTCGTACATCTCAACAAACGAAGCCATGAAGAAAACTTAGTCGAATCGGGAACAGGTAAGTCAATTTTATCAATATTATGTAATGTGTTAACTTGTAATAATTCTTCATTAATTATATTTTCTTTTCCAGGTTCATATTTTGGCCAATCTTCGAGTTTCATGTACAGAAAGTGCGGGCCTCGAAACCAGTCGCAATCGTCAGTCAATTGGTAAGTATTTATTTTTGTAGCTTTATCGGCTATGTTCATATCGGTAGGTATATAATGCCATTCATGTGATTGAGATAAGTCGTCGATTTCACCCAATCAATAGATTGGCTAATAAGCCACAAAAACTTTATAATTGCGTGTTTCATTTTTTATTTGATGCAACACTATAAGCGAGTCCGTCCAGAAGTGTCTTTTATCTATAAGTAACCGGTTCTCACGCGTTATTGTCTCGGCGAGCCGGCAGGCGATAACAGCAGCTTGCAATTCAAGTTTAGGTACTGTAATATATTTATGAATCGGCGACGCTCGGCACTTGCTCGCTATGAATGAGACGCGTACATCATTTGTCTTTGTCACTTCTCTGTAGTAGGCAACGGCGGCGTATGCAGTCGGCGATGCGTCGCAGAACACGTGCAGTTCTATGGTGGTCTCTTTCACCCTTGTGTCTTCGCTACGAGCAAGCCTCGGTAAGTTTTCATTTTCTATTTCGTTCTCAGGTCTGTTTGTAAGAAAATGATATCTTGGTATGCGCAAGCGTTGAAGCTGTCTGAGTTCGATTAGCCAGTTTTGAAAAATTTTGTTTTCTTTTTCAGGTATAGTCTCATCCCATTTTATATTCATCTTCCAAATATTCTGTAGTATTATTTTTGCTTTTACTATAAATGGAGCGAGGAAACCAAAAATGTCAAATATAGACATAACTATGCGCAACAGTTCTCTTTTGGTAGGTATTTTTTGTAAATTTATTATTTCTTCTGGTATACGCTTGAGCGATAAGTCAAAACCAAAGGTGTCGCTTAAGGGGAACCAAAGCAGTCCTAGAGTACGTTCAGGTAAATCATCGTAATCAGTTTTCATCCTTATGGCCTTATCACTTAAGGTCGCTTTTGGTGTGCACTCTAAGACTTCGGGTCTGTTGCATATCCAGTTTCTTATCTCAAAGCCACCTAAACTATGTATTTTTGACACTTCTTTTATTAATTTCAAAGCTGTTTGTACATCATCAACAGATTCTATGTAATCGTCCATATAATGTGATTTCAGGATGGCTTCAGTGGCTTCGGGCATTTCTTTTTGAAATCTCAGCGCATTTTTATTTTTAATATGTTGCGCTATAAACGGAGAGCAGTTGGCGCCAAATATCAATGAAGACATGGCATAAACATTGAAGTTGCTCTTATTATTTTCTCGCCACAAAAAACGTAAACAATGCTGATCTTCTTCATTTATTTTTACACGAAGGAACATGTCTTTGATATCACCTATGAATGCAATAGGCTTTTCTCGAAATCGTAGCATGATGCCCAGTAATGATTGTAGTAAATCAGGTCCCTGCAGCAGATAATCATTGAGCGAATGACCTTCGGTGGTGGCGGCGGCGTCAAAAACCAATCTTAATTTATTTTTATTCGGATTATCCACACCGAAATGAGGCAAATACCAAATCCGTTTTCTATGCATTGAAATTTCATCGGCAGTCAACTTTCGTGCGTAATTGTTTTCAAATAAATGACTCATCCTTTGTTTATATCTTGTAGCATAATTTTCGTCTAACTTCATTTTTCTCTCAACACCTAAATATCTTTTATAGGCGCTGTTAAAACTATTTGGCATTGCAAGATCATTTTTCCACGGTAAGCAAATTTCCCATCGTCCATCTATTAACTTGGCAGATTTGTCGATACAGTCGATTGCGCGAAGTTCATCCTTATTCACTCGTGGCTTAGAGTTCACTCCTATTGCTTCGAATGCAAACGAACGCCGTACTAGCTCATGCAGTTGTTTACATTCTGCGTTATCAATGTTATCTATGTGTGCTTTTTCATTCCAGTTTTCTCGCAGTTGCGTCGAGGGAGACGATGCACCGGCGCATGTGTGTGTGTCACTTCGTGCGCGCAGCTGCTCGCTGGCGCTGGCGGCGGTGGCGACTGCCCCGCCAGTGTCATAACGCACTCGTGCTCAGGCTCAGTTGCAAATGACCGACGGTGATGGAATGTACTAGCGGTGGAGGGCTCAATTCCGTGCACACACCACCCCAGTGGTGTAAGGGTCGCGCACGGTTCGTTCTTGCGACGGTAGACTGTCTTTAACGAAACTAAAAGTTGGTAATTGTCCTGCCCTATTAATAACTTAGGCTTCACACATCACTAGTGCACAAATAATGTTTTAAATTCCGTAAGTGTTCGTATGCGTTGACGTTTATTTTCGATAGGCACTGCATAGGTAGGTCCAGTTCACTTATCATTCGCGCGCGCATCTCGTACTGATCATTGTTATTGTTTGACAGTTTCAGATTCACTATTTTACTTTGACACACTATATCGGAATTCCACGCACCACGGATTCGTATTGTTTCAGTCTGACCTTTTAAATTAATATAGTTCGCGAGATCAGCTGATATTAACGACACTGTAGCTCCGTCGTCTAATAAAGCGTACTTATAACACCTTTAGGTCCATGAATGTTCACGCGCACTATTTTTAACATTACACTTGCGTTTTGCGACGTTGTTGTAGTAGTGTTCGTAACTGTTTCGCGAGCAGAGTCATTATTCATTTCACTGTAACTTGTTGTCACTAAGTTTGTAGCATTGTTAGGGACGTCGTTATTATTAGGGACGTCACTCGATGACGCGGTCTTCTTTGCAGGCCAATGGAGGAGGCGGTGATGAGCCATACCACACTCTTCGACATCACACGGCGCGGCAGAACAGGCCTCCTTACTGTGACCGGGCAGCAGGCAGTTATGACAGAGTTTGTTTACTTTTACTATGCGCCACTTGTCTTTTCTTAGAGCTCGTTTGAATTTGGTACAGTTTATAAGCTGGTGGGTGGCAATTCGGCAGAATATGCACTTGGTACTCGGTTCACTGTTATGCAGCACGTGAACTTGAGTTTTGCGCTCATCATACTTCTTGTGAATTCTGTAATCTGCTTGACTATAAATGTGACTTATTCCAGCAGAGGCTACCTTCGTGGCTTCTTTGTGCAAAAAATCTGCAAATATTTGTAACTTGGCTTTGTTATCCTCTTGATGCTCATATAAATAATCCACCCACTTATTTATCAATGTACTGGGGCACTTGGACACGACTGTGTTAAGTAATTCTGGGCTTCTCAAGTAATCAGTTTGCTTGATAGATTCGGCGGCTGCTACGTAGTTCCTTATTTTAACAGCAAATGTCACTAAATCAGTGTGGTAAGTCTGCGGCAGCGGCTGTAGTTTCTTGAGTTGACTACTGATTTTATAAATAATTAGCTCCTCTGGTCTTCCAAAACGCAGTTCCAGTGCTTCCAAAATCACACTCGGTATTGTGTTGCAAAGAAGTAGTGAGGATACTGCCTCTCTTGCTTCGCCACGCAGACTTTTAGTCAGTCTCGAAATATTTTCAATGTCACTAAAATTGCATAGTTTAGTGGACTCTTCATAAGTATTTTTATACTGCAGCCACTCGAATGGGTCTCCAAAAAATAATGGTAAATCCTTGGGCGTAGCTAGTCTTGATAGCAGTTTTGACTGTGCGCTGTAGGTGACTGTAGCCATCTGTTCCATAGCTCGTGCGAGTTGCTGAAGATCCGAAGAGGAGGTGACGGCGGGGGGCGCCGGCGGCGGAGATGCCGCGCGCTGTCGCTGTGACTCCTGTTGACTTCTATCAAGCCATTCTTCCACTTTATTTGTAGTTTCAGCAAGCGAGTCTTTTATACTGCACTGTGACTTCCGCGATGACCCACCTTCAAGAGCGGCGAGTTGGGCTTCTAACCTTTTTTCAATGAGTTTCTTTTCAATTTCAGCCTTTGCTTCAGCTGCTTCTAGTTCTAATTGCTTCCTACGTGCCGACAAAGAAGATTTGCAGGAACTTTTCTTCGATTTAACTGATGCTTGACCGGTAAGTTCGATTTTCAAGCTACCTACTTTTTTCGACATCTGGTTGGTAATTTCTTCGAGTTCATTTTTTGGAACTATTGCTATGTCGGATTGTACTTTGCGTGAATGCACTTCACTTTTATCCTCAATGGTATGAGACAACACTTCTCTTACGAGAGCTCCACGCGTTTTAACCATCGTGCGCGGCGGTGTGTTGAACATTCCTCTGTGCATCTACTGTAATATATAGGTTCCAAAATCCTGGATGATCCGGCTGAAGAACCACTTTGTACGCGATGTAAGTTGGCGCGGTGACCAAGGACTTCAAAAATAATAACGCAGTAGATACTGTGCGAAGAGCTTTCGGGTGCGGGATACGTGCGTGTGCTTGCGTCGGCTATGGCTTAGCAACTGTCTTAGTAACTTATATGCAACCGTTTATTCGATCAACAAAATCAAAGGCAGGTGAAGGCGCATTCACACACATGCTCGTACCCTACGGCATATTTATTAAACTATAAAACGCAACATATAATTAATGCAATTAACAAATATCGAAATGGACGAAATGTATGATTGAAAGTAAAATGACAAATTTAGCTTAGTTATAGATATTACATATTAAATTATGGGTTTGATTTAAAGATGCGCGTCGCGTCGTCTACACTCCACCTTACGGAAGACCACAACGTTAACGTAAAGTAACACTATCTTTTGGTGGCGATGTTTCTGTCGACGAGTAAGGTTCTAGGGCTACACGGAGAAGAGGATTGAGTAAGGGGTAGGCAACGGCGTGATGGATATTTTTGATATCTCAAGCCTCTATAGGCTATGGTGCCGCTCACCATCAGGTCGGCCATATGCTTGTTTGCCACCCTTTTAACATAAAAAAACTATTCCTTACCTAAATTCTCCAGGCGAGTCTCCCGCTGGCACAGGACATAATTCATCAGCAGCCGGGCAATAAACAAGTAGCCGTCTCCTCACGTCGGATATGCAAGCCCGAGCGCCACCTACATTGCGTATACTGCAGCTGTGCTTGTACCGCATTGACGTCCATCATTCCTCTACGCCGAAGTACCTATGCCCAAGCAGTGGGAACTTTAAGAAGATGATAACAATCTTTTTAAAAGTATTCCTTACCTAAGTTCTCCAGGCGAATCTCCCGCTGGCACAGGACATAGTTCATCAGCAGCCGGGCAATAAACATGTAGCCGTCTCCTCTCGTCGGATATGCAAGCCCGAGCTCCACCTATATCGCAATAAACGCCGCGTATACCGCAGCTGTGCTTGTACCGCATTGACGTGCGCCATTCCTCCACGCCAAAGTACTCGATATGACCTTGCTAAAATAGATAATCATTACATTCAAAATAAATCTATGCATATAATAAAATGGTAGGAAAGTCAAAACTGTACATTAAATATTTTTTAAAAAGAATACTTGGGGTGTGATCTTCAATCGATACCGAAGCCAAAAATATAGTTTTTAGAATTTTTGTCTGTATGTGTGTCCGGGGTAAACTCAAAATTTTTTTTGAAGATTTACTTCAAATTTGGCACGAATATTATTAAGAAGTCGGGTCAACATATAGGTTACATATTATCAGGCTATCACCTACGGGGAACGAGCAGTGAACCTTTATTTCTAACTAACTGCACGCGTACGAAGTCGCAGGCGGCCGCTAGTATGGCTATAAAATTAGCAGAGCTCTATATATTGCAAAATTAAGGATTCAGGCATTCATAATATGTTTTCGTGTCTTGTTGTATTGCTAAGATAGTGTATTAAAAAGAGGTAGATGTGCCTAGTTATACATTCAAACGTATTCTTACGTGACAAGATACTCCTTCTTCCTTTTTAACTTTCATAGCGTAATTTTTGCACTTTCCGAAACACACAATTCGGCATTTAAACTTATTTTATTTAAGTGCGCAATACGCAGGCGTTTCACCAACCGCTGATAATATGCGACTTAGTTGGTGTCGTTTGTGTTTCACCACGCGCTTATAATGCAAACTGTCTGTCAGACACTTGGTTCGAGTGGTCTAGAGGCTCCAGACGGAGAGAAGACTCCTCCCGTGGGGTGATGCCATCCGCCTGGAATACTTCTAGAGGCACTTGCCAATTCTCGACTTGAGGTCCCCTTGCGATCTCGCCGATCAAATCCAGTGACACTCAAAAAACAAATTACTCTTTTGAATACACTATCTTTGTTGTTGTAGTGTATACTTCTGCACTTTTCTCTGATCTTGGATTAACTTTCAATTATGACGATTGGGTCGTCATCAAAAACATTCATGGAATTTCTATGGGCTTGCAGCTTAGATTAAAACAAAAAGGGAAGATACGGTACGCTCATACTAGCATCAAATAAAATATGATCCGACTCGACTGCATAAGCAACTCTCACGCACGAACAGAACAGAACTGTACCCCTAGCACGAATCAATATCGAATTCGAATCGAATGCGAGTGCGAAATGTCATTGTCAAATATGTACTGATTTTTAGTTCTAGTTACGTATTTTGTGGCGCTGCTGTTCAAGTTTCCATACAAAATTTGACATTGACATCGAATTCGTAACGTTTGCGAGTCCGAAATGTCATTGTCAAACTTGTACTGATTTTAAGTTCTCGTTTCGTACTTTGTGCCGCTGCTCTTCAAATTTCCATACAAAATTTGACATTAACATTTCGGTTTGCAAACTATTTGAATTCGATAATGGTTCGTGCTAGGGGTACACTGCGCTGCAACGCAGCGCGAGCGAAACGGCGAGTCCGCGTCGCTTAGCTTGGCGACTGCGTTATCTTTTCTATCTCTACAAACGGCTGAGTTGTATTGTTGTCCTTTTCTTGATAAAAAATGGCTAATAATTAAATAACATTCATGACAATTTTTGAGTAAAATAATGTTTACATAGTTTTACTAATGAAAAGTGTTGCTGTGAAATTTGTTATTTGATCTTGAACTATTTGTGCTCTTTATAAACTTGTTCATGACAAATAAATAAAATAAAAGCATCGAAGGCATTGCTTTATCTTTATAACACAGAATGTACGCAATATTGTTATATTGAGTGCACATGCAGCGTGCTCGAATGTCGAATTGTGACTTGAAAGCGCTTTTGAGCCGCGAGTGCCGTATCTTCCATTTTTGTTTTAATCTAAGGCTTGCAGGGTATTACTTACGTCAGTTACGAATATGAAAAAATCGCTGGTGAGATGAATGTCGACAATGTTAGCGCCCTGCATGTGCGGCTCAGGAAAGACAATCGCTTCCCGTTCAGGTTGTGATGGATCTGGGGAGTCGATCTGTGAATGAAACCCATTCATGTAATAGCTGTTTACCGATGCAATTGCCGTTCTGCCGTAATGGCTATTACGAGTCAATATTTTTTTTCGCTAAGCATTCAAGTTCAAATTATTTTTATTTATAAAATATTGATATTTTTTTTAATTAATCACTTGTTTAATGGTTAACGTTCAGTACCCTTAGCACGAACCAATATCGAATTCGTAACGTTTGTGAGTACGAAATGTCTTTGTCAAATGTGTACTGATTTTTAGTTCTCGTTACGTCCGTTATGGCGCTGCTGTTCAAGTTTCCATACAAAATTTGACAATGACATTTCAGAGTCGCAAACAAATAATGGTTCGTGCTAAGAGTACTGTATTTAACGCAGTTGTACCTTTTACGTAATCATGGAAACGTTAAAAATCTGAGTGATTATGGAGGATCAGTACTGTCGTGGGTGCAAAGCGGCAGAAGCGGCACGCAACATCAACGACGTACACGGAGCAAACATTACTAACGATCGTAACACCCGTTATTGGTTCACCCGCTTCCGTTCTGGAAATTTCAACCTGAGAAATAGATCCCGTGGTCGACCGAAAGCTTTGACCAATTATAGCCGATTATGGAATCTGATGATTCTCGATCTACAGATGAATCAGCAGCAGCTTTTGATGTTAGCATTAAAACAAATTTGGTCTATTTGGTAAGGAGAAAAGCTTGACAAATGCGTGCCTCACAAATGGCATGATCGCCAGCCCAAAGTACGCGTCGAGTCGAGCCTTGCACTGCTCGACAGGCACACAAACGAACGCGGCGTACTGGCGGTGCGTTGCCGTGCCGCTCGCTAGTGGATAGAACCATGCTATATGAATGAATATGAGCACACGCACCGAGTGTAACATGGCGCGGCCCTGGAATAGCGCGGCGGCATACTCGGCGCTGACGCGCGTGGCAGTGTCGGGCGCGGCGTACTCGCGGCGCATTGCCGTGCCGCCCGCTAGTGGATGGAACCACACTATATGAGTGTATATGAGCACACGCACCGAGTGCAACATGACGCGGCCCTGGAACAGCGCGGCGGCACATTCGCCGCTAACGCGCGCGGCGGTGACGGGCGCGGCGTACTGGCGGCGCGTTGCCGTGCCGCCCGCTGGTGGATAGAACCACACTATATGAGTGTATATTAGCACACGCACCGAGTGCAACATGGCGCGGCCCTGGAACAGCGCGGCGGCACACTCGCCGCTGACGCGCGCGGCGGTAACGGGCGCGGCGTACTGGCGGCGCGTTGCCGTACCACCCGCTAGTGGATAGAACCACGCATGCGCGCCGCTGACGCAGCACACGTGCGCCGCGCCCAGCGCTAGCAGCGTCGGTTCCGTCGGCAGCGCGTACGTCGCCAGCGCGGTCGGCTCGGCTAAGTTAAAAAGAAAAGCACGTTGCATCGTGTCAGTTTTCAACTCACATTTTATGATAGCTGGGTTCCGTAAAATGTGCAATAGCATGAGGAAAAAAGAAAGCTTATTACATTTGAAATTGTTCTGACAAATCTTAGCGCATGTTTCACAAGTAGGAAATACCTAAATTAATTAATAATATTGTAAATATTATATTGTTTTTTTTTTTTATTTCCGTTGCAAGTATTCGCATTTCAAATCACATGTTTAATATGAGGACTGGCACCCGAAGAAGCCTCAAAAAACCCTATCTCCGACGAGAGGAAGAGTAAGACTTTTGACCTGGTGGGGTTCACTCACTTCTAGCGGAGTCCGGGTCGTGGAGAGCGATGCATTGGTAAACGGTAGCTTCGGTCAAACTAGTGAGGGCGAGCAGTCGCGTAGCATGAGCGGCATACAACGGCGGCAATCTCGCCACGTACACGTTCAGCGTTGCGCGACCCGCCGCAGCCAATAAACGCCCGTCGCCGCTCCAGCGGGCACGTTCCGCCCCCCCACCGGGGCTTACGCAACCCACTACCTCGCCGTTGTTCCATACCGATATCAACTTCAATCTAATACACAAAAAAGATTATCAAGATCAGAGGCTATCATATCATGACAAAATCATCTACAAACATGCTTTCCCAAAATGGTACTCAAAATACTGAAAATAAACGAAATTGGCGTATTTTTAGTGTTTCGTTCCAAGTCCTATTATTATTTATGTGGTTTTCCAAAATTTACCACTTACTGTCCGTCACCGCAAGACGCGGCCTGACCGTGGCAAACTGCGATATCTGTAAGAATGTCCTTGTGATTTTTAACTTGAAACAACTCTTCGCCGACCTCCTTAATATGCGTTGATATAGCTATGATGAAACCGGCACTGAATCCAATCAATATATAGCCGTCTCCGTACCACTTGTACGTAACTATTGAACCGTAACGCTGTTGGAAAGCCAGTTCGATGGGATTTTCTGGATTCAAAAGGTTGTATAAGTACAATGTACGTTTCCCCACTATTAGACTTATCTGAAAAAAAATACACAACACGTTTATAGAAAATAATATACGAGTCTACTCAGAGCCATAATATTAAAAGTATTTGTCCCAAGAAAATGACATTGCTACGTGATAAAGGAATCTTTAGTATCCATGGGAGTAATTGTCTGATTGAAAAGAGTTGCAGTTAATCAATTAGGAATCTTTATTGTGGTCATGATAAAATATATGTGAAGAACTTTACCGTGTTTTCTCCAGCTACCCGCTCATCGGTTTTCATTTCGGAAAATTGTAAGTCATTCGGGGTGTCCCGGATTGATATAATGCGTAAAGTATCACCGTCCGAGTTGTTTATAGACAAATTCTTATCTTCAGATGCGAGAACTAATATGCTGTCTTTATTCCAGGCTGCACAGGTAATTTTCTTTGTATGTTTTCCAATTATAGGTATTCGTCTAAAATATAGTAAAACTTAAACTAGATGTGGTACAAAATAGTAAATATTAAAATTATATGCCGTGGCCGAGTGGTTTGTACGCCGGGTTTCATGGCGTCGCCGACTCGAGAGGTCCCGGGTTCGAATCCCGGTGGGGGCAGATGTTTGTGTGATGAACACGAGCATTTGTACTCCAGTCATGGATGTTTAATATGTATTTCTATATAAATATACTTATATAAGTAAAGTATATTTATTCTATCCGTTACCCTAGCATCCCATAAAACAAGCCTTATAGTGCTTACTTTGTGGCTAGGCTAATTGGTGTGAGCGTTGGAAATATTTATTTATTATGTATATATATTTATAAGGCGCAACCTTATCGGCTTGAACTCTAGAATCTTCTTTATCAACAAAATACATGTCACTACCAAACAGCAATATTTTCTGAAAGGTGACAGACCCGCGACACTGAACAGAGGCCTATATAAAAAGAATCATACCAGTGACATGCGATCGTGCGAGCTACCCGCCGAAATGATTTTTGCATGCAGTACTCGTTTAGTTGTAGCAATCGCTAACTACCAAAATAGTTGCTCAGCATGCCGCCAATAAAGTGTAATGACTTGCAATCGACTTAAGCTGATGACTATGTGCGCCACCAATAAATTTACGACATAAGCGGCAGGCAATAAACATATTTAAAGAATCATAATAACAGAATTGTATGTACTTACTTCGAAGTGTGATGGTTATACAATGCTAGGTTGCCTTTTTGTGTCCCAATGGCTAGAAGTGGTTCTCCATATGCCCATGCTAGGCATGATGGAGGCTCCCTTAGTCCTGTCTCGATACTCATCCTCTTGTTAGCATGACACTCCCACAGTAAAACAGAATTACTATTCGGAGTAATTACTGCTAGGTAATCACCATCGTTATCCCATTCCATGCCTGCACAGAGCCTGTAGTAGGTATTTAAAAAAAAACATTTGTGAACATTAAAAAATTACTCTGGATTAGCCAAAGAACATGAAATAAATAAATATTTTAATTCGATATGGTTGAGCCCTGGGTGTACTCATTCATAATAATCATTTATCAATTAAAATTGTAATTGATAAGAAAAATACTTGTTATGAATGAGTACTGCGCATGGCTAATATTTTTTTATTAGTTCAATTTAACGGTTGATCAATATGTTTAATATTGCTATTTAGGATCCCTTACAGGCTCCAATGTCCCAAGAGTAAAAACACTAAATCACTTGTTGTAATCTATTGTTCAAAGTTTAGTAAAAAAAAAATATTTATATAATAACTTGAGAAAACTTATAGAAATAATCTTAAATTGTTAGCGCAAAGTCAACAAGACACTGAAATTTTAATTAATTAACTAATTATTTGGTACAATTAAATTACCCCTGCAGTTTCATTCTTTCCAAGAGTTGTCCAGATCTATCATATATTGCAACAGTTGCATCCGTTCCAGTAGTGGCAAGAAGAGACCGTGCCTCACCCTTCTGCCAAACAAAGTACAGCTCACCAAGGCCATGAGGTTGTTCTATTGTGTATAATAACTACAAAAGTAATTTTGGATTAAAACTGAGTAAATATACTATAATCAACATATTATCAGCAAAAATATAGATTAGTGGACATAATTGGTGGACCATTATTTTATGGCACATATTTTTAGAAATCATTCTGCAAAGTTTCAAAGCAAGGAGCCTCATAAAAAGTCCATTTTTTTTATATGATCAAAGCGCCAGAAAAAAAAATGTTGATGGATTTTTGAACATTTTTCACCTTAAAATTTTAACCATGAATATCTCAAAGTAACATTTCCGCAGGGTGGGAATGGTAGAGGGGTAATCCCTCATCCCTCTCTCGGCCCTCCCCCACTACCCACCCTGAAATAGATGTCCTTTAATTTATATTATTACCAATATATCTTTGAACCAACACCACTTTCTCCACATGCAAACTAGCCTTAACTACATTGAAGTTTATTACTATTATACAACATTAAAGTTTTAAGAAAATTCTTAATTTACTTAACCAGATCAAAGTTATAAAATTTGGGGAAGTTTAACCGCTGCTCCCCACTAGCAGTATAATAAAACAGCAATATTTGGTCAACTTGGTGCACTATATTCGGAAATATTCACTACTATAAAAATACAATATATAGGAAGGAAATTTTTCTTCTTGCAGTCTATTTTTAGTGACAACTGACACATTAAAGTATATGATAATTCTGTCATGTGCGAAATAAATTAATAAGTGCTTTTTATTGTTCCATCTTAAGAGGGTGTTCACTACTTACTTTTGGAGAAGTCATGTTTCCCGCTACTTGTGTAGATCTTTATACAAAATTAATCCATATTATACAATTGTTCAGTAGACTTAGCATACCCATTTTAAAGTTAACTTTATAGAATTGATTTTGATCAATAACATATTTGGTTAGTTAGAGAAACTTCATTTCTTGATGATAGGATTCATTACTGCTATTACTGTGTCTAATGTCTCATACATCCAACGGCCGTAGCACGAACTTACAAAGTTGTATGATTATGTAGAGACTTGAAAAAGTCTGTAAAGTTAGTTTGGTAGATACAATTAATATTTTAATAAGACAGAAGAACTATATTTGTATCACTTTGATTATTTATCAAAGTTGTATTTAAATAAATTCCATTGGAATTTGTCATTGTTTGATTTGGTTGAACCGGTTACCTAGCAACAGGCCAACAGGCACAGATGATAAAAACGACTGTAACACTACCCAATTTTAAAGAGCCCTCTATAAAAAGGTGGGCGTGTCCCCTAGCTAGGGTAGCGATTAACACACTGCCCTATAAATCAGACACTATCTAAAACATACAATACTAGTCTACGGTCAGCGGGTGAATCTCGTCGTTATGGCACCCGATGCATTCTGAAAAAAAAATATAAACTTCTCTAAATCCTTCCACAAAGGGTTACCATTTAGGAATTTCATAAGTCCTGACTAAAATCCTGACATTTCGAAAAAAGTCCAAAATTTTTGTCACAAAATAGTACCATTACTCACTTAGTTACAATGGTATGGTACTATTTAAATCAATATGTACTTTAATTATTCATATTCAAAGTAATATTAAAAATACGGACAATTTAAAGATCCGGACAAAGTCCGGACTATAGTAAAAGTCCGGACATGGCCGGACTAATCCGGACGGATGTTACACTTTTCTCTTTATTTATAGAAAAATATGTAAATGATCATCAAACATTTTTAAAACTCTCTCATAAATAAATACAATTGGTAAACTTTAGATTAGGTTACCAATTGTATTTATTTGAGTTTTATCTGATTATTTAAATAGATTTTGATTTCTTTTTGCCACAAAAATTATAGATCGTACTGCCTAACAGCTATTTCACTACCAGATTGTTAGGACGTAAGGGATTAAGGACATCGGTACGCGCTGATTGCAATAGATCGGGTCCCTTACCCCTAAATCTAATTACACCACCCTAATAGAGACAGTAGGGGTCCCTTAAAATTGGGTATTCTAATATATTTCCAACACTCACACCAAATAGCCTAACCCCAAAGTAAGCATCGTAATGCTTGTATTATAGGATACTATGGTAACGGATAGAAAACATATACTGTACAAATATAAGTATATTTATATAGAAATACATATGTCAGGGTAAGGGTCCGTTAAAATTGGGTAGTCTAATGGCCTTTAAGGCAAAAAGATAATCAAGCCAAAGTTTAAAATTACTTTAAACTCTGGCATGATTATCTCCACCTAAAATAATAATGTATTCTCGTCATACTCTATACAGAATGAAAAGGAGAGGAGAGACTGATGTTTTTTGTCTGTGGCTTCTTCCGTTTTCCCCAAAAGGTACGGGTGCGGCCAGAGTGCTCTTAGATTCAGATTCAGATTCAGATTTCGAAAACAAGCGCGAGAAATAAACAGTGTAGTCGAAGGGTACGGCCAGAGTGCACTCCTGATTCAGATTCAGATTCAGACTCAGAAAACAAAGCGCGAGAAAAAGCAGGCAACCTGCTTAGACTACACTACTACAATACACGACAGAAATAAACAGTGTAGTCTAAGCAGGTTGCCTGCTTTTTCTCGCGCTTTGTTTTCTGAGTCTGAATCTGAATCTGAATCTGAATCAGGAGTGCACTCTGGCCGTACCCTTCGACTACACTGTTTATTTCTCGCGCTTGTTTGCGGAATCTGAATCTGAGTGCACTCTGGCCGCACCCGTACCCTACGGCCACAGTGCACGCAGATTCAGATTCAGACTCAGAAAACAAGCGCGAGAAATAAACAGTGCAGTTAAAGCAGGGTGGCCAGAGTGGCAGCAAGCAACTGGTTGCCCGCGCAGGTTTCGGAGTCAGACACTTTACCGGAATGTTTAGGTCATTCAGATTCTGAATTCACCAGCGCCGCTCAGACTGCAGGTAGGGTTGCCAACCCTCCTATAAAATATAGTATCCTACTTTAATAGGGGATCAAATACTATATTTCTAATAAATATGTAGTAGGCGAAACTACTATATTTTGCTTACACACATAGACACTATAGTGGGGAGGGCCTATCGCAACCTTGGTTTTGTTATGCGTACATGTCGTCCTTTTAATAGTCCCTTAAGTCTAAAAATAGTCTATTATGCATACGTGCGTAGTCTCTTAGAATATGCGGCCCCAATATGGGGCCCGTGTTACAATATTTACATTAATCGTATCGAAGGCATACAGAAGAAATTTGCACGCCACTTGAATTTTAGATTTCGGAAAATTCATGTTAAATCGACGTACGAGGAAATTTGCCGAGCGCACGACTTGCTTACCCTGGAGGAGCGTCGTGGGGTCCTTGATATGGGTCTGTTGCATGATATCGTTGGTGGTGGCTTTGATTGTCCAGAACTGCTTAAACTAATATTTTATAATACACTTCCTCGTCGTACCAGGTCTTCCAATTTATTATATGTCCCACATCATTATACTAAATATGGTCAAAATGCTGTGCTTTCTCGTCTACCAAAAATCTATAACGTGAAATTTGGTGAAGCCGATCCTTTTGTCGGTTCAAAAAAACAATTTCTGAATAAAGTGAAACAATTATTATTTAAGAACTTCCAAACAGCAACATCCTCATAATCGTGGGTTTATGATCGTGAATTATAGAACCCTCATAATGGACCCAATTCTGGCGTGCCAACTTATATCTAAAACTAACTAAAGTTAGATATAGAATTGTCAAATTCAATTTGGTATTCTGTAATGACACCCTATCTCTAAATTTAAAATTGACGTCGCTAAGTTATTCAACTTAGATTTCGATGATTAAATGGTATTCTGAAACGCGTTCTAAATGTCATATTTTCTCTAAAATTAGAAATGTCACACTAAATTTCAGAAGGACCTACGGAGATCCTCTCTAAATTTAAATGTGAATAATCGGGCCAAATAGTAGGTAAATGATTGGGACCGATTCTGGCGTTACATTCTCTAAACCTAAACTTAAAATTAGAGAGGTAATTTTAGTTCAGGTTTAGAGTATTGGTATTCTGAAATTGCGAACTAACTAAATTAAAAAAAATGGTTGCCTGTAAAGTCGGTTTTACGGGCGAAGATTTTACGTGACAACGTCTTTTTCTCGGTAGAATATTTATTGATATGAATATAATTAAATTGCACAATAGGAACAAGGAATTGAATGAAAATAAGAATTGCACAAATTTTAACTATAGAAATATATTTTGTTTACTAAAACATTGTACATGTAAACTTAAACTTAACACGAGAGACTCATCGTAACGTTACCGAGCGTTACACTTTTTCATAAGTGACTCCCAGCCGCAACCTAATTTAAGACGTTGTCACGTCAAAACACAGTTGACAGCTGTAAACGAGCATCTAAATTGAATTCACAGATTATGTAAAGGCTTTGAACCGGTAATTATCGGTTTACTCAAATTAGCAATAATTATATATTATTCAGTGATTTTGACTTATTTCAATAATTCTTTGTTGTTCTTCATCATCTTTGAAATATGGAAACTTAACTTAAGTTTGTTATTTTACTGTATGAGAAATTATGAATCAATATTAAAGAGTGAATACTTGCCCACTCTGTGGTACTTAGGGTTTCTAGATTGGGAGTGTTTATCCTTATTTAGGGGGAAAATAAGAACTTGGAGAAATTAAATCTGGTGGGAGAACATTAGGAATCATATTTTTTCTTAGAAAACGCCAAGTATTTTTTTTGGCAAAACGACAGGGAAAGCTATCACTTGTAAAATTAAATTTAAATATGGGTACCAACTAGATTTGGCAGCTAACAAATCTATTAAGGATGATCAGTGACGATGGACCGTGTCGAGTCCTGAGCCGAGCTTCAGCCGTAGCATGGTCACCGAGCCGATCTGTAAATTTTGTAATGATCAAAGAAGTGCCTCGACCGAGCAATTAGGTAGGTATCGTTGCACCGTGATGCAGTCTAATCATTCAGATAAAGTAAATGTACTCGTCCGCGCAAAACTGTTTATTGTTTTGTCTAAGGTTCACTACGATTGCCGGGTGGCAGCGCGCCGGCAATGTATTCATGCAACGGGCCGTGGCCGAGCCGAGGCGGCACCAAGCTTTTTTCGAGCGTTGTTTCATGTGTTGCTCGGTTGTCAGTCGGTTACCGCCTGGTATAGTGTGAATGTGTCCATAATCCATGTAAAATAAATTATTTGATATTAGTTAACTAGAGGAGTTCAATGGCGCAGACAATTAGCTCATTCGGCTGCGATCGTTGAAATTAAGCAACTTTCGCAGTGGTCGGTCATTGGATGGGTGACCAAACATCTTCTATGTCGAGTTCCTCGTTCTCCCGGCTGCATCTGCAGTCGTTAACACCCGCCAATCCGCACTGGGCCTGCGTGGTGGGTCATGGCCTAATCTCTCTATTTCACCCATAGGGAAGGCCTGTGCCCCAGCAATGGGGACATTAATAGGCTGATGATGATGATGATGATTAGTTAACTCTGCTACGGCCGACAGGGTCTAACGTGAACCATTCTTGAAAATTTCTCGCATCGTAAATTCCCAATCCAGCGTATCTATCTAATACCTATAATTTTGGTTTCGGTAAGAGGTTGTAAAATTATCCCTTCGGCTGTTTTGTGAAGATTTTATTCTCATTTATTGTATAATCCGAGATGCGTAACCTATTTTTATCTTTTTTGTTTCTATCAGTTTTTGGCGAGATCATCCCAATTATTCATTTGGTGAAGATGCCCAGTTTAGGATATATAAAAACAAACTTTTCAATTACAAACAGTAGGTACTTATTTCGTGTTTGGTTATTTTAAGAAATATGTTTAGCTTATAAAAAGTTGGAAATAAAAACATTTCGAACTAATAGGTATTAAAAACTGCTTCATAGAAACAAAACCACATAAAACAAAGGAACAAATAATACATTAAAGTCTAAAGTACCTACATTTAAAGTCAAAACAACATTTGGATTGCAATTGGTGATTGGAATGCAAATCACTGACACCATACCTCTATTATCTTGTTAATTATTTGACTATGTACTTTAGATATAAGTAGGATCTGTAAGTATTACTTATAAAATTAGTACATAGATTTTTTACCTTTTTAGGTTGTTTTTATATGAAGTGGATTTTTATTTATGTTATATAAGATTTTACCTTAAATTATTTAGTATTTTATACAAGATATACGTGTACATTACCTACGAAAGACCACAATAGCGCAAGTGTAACGCTTTCGTTCTGCGATCGTGAATGTTAAGCAATTTTCACAATGGCCGATCTTAGGATGGGTGACCACCCATACACACATTAATAGGCTTATAATAAATCCGCATCGTAACATAGACCCACCTACCTT